TATATATATATATATATATGGGAAACATCTGTGGTTCCAGTTAAGCAATAGATGGGCTTGGATTGCTCTTAAGTTTGTTTTGCCTGAAGACAATTATAACATTCCAGAAAGGGGTGTGAATGAGAGGTTCAGGTTGGGCAATATGCCCAAGGTCTGTAGAAATGTATATAAGCACTGGAGTGACAGGCAGGGATTATCAGAGAAGAGAAAAACTTGGAAGAGCATCTTAGCAAAAGCAACAAAGACCAAGGCAAGTATTATTTCCTGGCCGGTAGGGCAAGGGTGATTAGTAGAAGGAACATTTGGCATTGAATAAATTGGAGAAGTGACATAGGCAATACATTGACTTTTAGGGTAATATTGGAAGGCAACATGTCATAAGTAACAATGTTATATGTAATGTGTTACTTTTGATGAGAATCAGGGTAGAATGAGATTCTTTTTTTAAAAAATAAGATATTTATTGGTGATGCCAATTCTCCTTTCTTATTATTTGTAATTTGTTATTTGGAGTGGGGGATTGAGTGCAATTACCAATTTATTTTAGCTGTTTCTCCCCCCTACACAGAATGTAAAAATAGGGAATAATCTAATGAACTATAGAAGGAAAATGGCCATAGCAATGCATTACTTGGGTGTGATTGGCAGTGGTAGAGAAATGAATGTTTTTTTTCCTCCAGCTACCTCATGAATTAGCTTTCCCTACATCAAAGTCAGAACTAGAAGGTAATTAACCTTTCATTGATACTGCAGAGATACTAAACGAACTCTCTGCAGAAATACTAAACTAACTCTAACTCTTTTTTCAGCATGAAATGGTCTCACAGAAACATTTGCTATTGTGTTATATTAGCTGGCTGACAGTACATGTTGCATGTCTTCTCAGATTTTCTTAGTGTATTATAGATTACGATAATTGAGCCAACCATTTCACTATTTGTATAACAATAATGACCATTGTTTCATTTTCACTGTGGTTCTTTTTAAATAAGGTGGTGATGATATCATTGTGTGGGAGGATCAAGATATCTTATCTGCTATTTAATTAAGAGTGGCTGGCAAATAAATCCAATCCATGCCTGGACTTGAATTTTCTTTAAGAGAGATAACATCACTTTGATATTCATGTACACACCCCTAGCCTTGCCAGCCAAATCAGGGTGTCCTTCATGTTAAGGAGAAAGCTTGCAAACAATTATACTATTCATAACAGTGCATACAACTAGCATGCAATGGAGTTAGATAAGGAGTCCTTGTGGCAATATAATTTTGAACTCATTCATTTAAGTAAGGGTCAGAACTTTAAAATCCAAGCTCTTTATACAATATAATTTGCTGACCTTCTAATGGGGAGAGGAAGAAGAAAAGCTAGGAATCCTGGCAAAAGTATGATAGCTGGACCCAATGCTGGTTGCGCGATGCGGGTCAGAACTAGAGAAGTAAAGATGTTATATATTTGAATGTGTTTGCATACAATATCCGGATAGCCTTAAGCACTATGTTTGGCTGTTTGTTGTCCCCTTCTTTCTGTCCCCCCTCTCTGCCCCCCCCATCTTGCCACGACTCTGTCGCACCTGTGTCTCTCACTTGCTGTGTTGTCTCGGCATTGGGTCCCAGCTATCATACTTTTGCCGGAATCCTAAAGAAACACATAACAGAATATGTTAACATTACACAGTCATAAACACGTCACAAATCAAGAAAAAAATATTGCATTTATGAAAAAACGAATAGTAACTCAGTTTACCAGTGAGTCTTACAGTATAGAACTGTCTGGCCAAATAATCTTACATTTATTCTTGATTCAGTACATCAACTGTGGCCCCCCATATTGAACTGACTTGGTCAAGGTTACCAGTGGATTTCCATGGCCGAGCAAGCATTTAAACCCAGTTCTCCAGTTCCTAATCCAACAGCGAAACCAATACACCATGCTGATTCTCTAGGCATTAATATTCAGGGGTAAATGTGAATACATGCATGTGAAGTACATGGATTTCTTTCTCCCTCCTTTTTTTACGCCACAAATTGCTCTATGTAGACATGACTTTTGAATACTTTGAAACAGGACTGTTCATAGGGATATGATAGAAGCTCACTTCAAACTCTAATCTGACACTATAGAATATGGCTCAATTTGAGTCAGACTAAATTGGAGGCTGCCTGAGTAATTTCATGTCCCGAACCTAAGAAATAGACTCTCATGGAACTGAAATAAGAATTAATCAGAACAACGATTTCAAGATTAGTGATATGGTGACATGTTTTAATTGGTTTTAATTGTATTTACATGTTTATTGATTTTAATGGTTATTGTGTTATGTATTGTTTGAGTTTGTGTAATTGTGGCATTACATGTTTGCCAAAGTTAGAAGCTGCTCTGAGTCCCTCTCGGGGTGAGAAGACTGTGGTAGAAATAAAGCAAATAAATAGATAATTAAATATGTCGAGTTATGCAACTCAGCAGCTATAATTACTCTGTACTGTTTGCCAGGAGCAAAGATAATTTGTAAGCATTAAAGAACATAGGAGGGGATAAAGTCTACCAAACACAAAATAAAAAAGAGCGAACCCATGTAAAATGAGTTTTCAAGTACATTATTGCATTATTTAAAACAAATGCATGCTTGTTTCTCTGTCATGCATGGTTATTAATATGGTTTTGATTTTGCATAAACCCTGGATGCACACCCACCCATGCTCACACTAAAATATATATAATTTGAGAGTACCGGATACATGCTCTCATTTATGTACAAACCATCTACCCCACCCTTCAACAAGGTTACTCTTTCTCTTCAAAGAATATCTGAAGGCAAATGCACACTCTTTTATCCAACCATGAATAGGCTGAGCATGTGATTGATAGGACTGATTAAACAAAGATTGATTAGAAGAAGACTAAGGCTTGTTCATGCAGCCTAATAGCTTTTTGGCATGTCTTTGATTAAAGCTCAAGAATGATGAAAAATGCTGGGACCAATTTGGACACTGCCCTACCCGACATGGATTTTAAACCTAAGTCAAGATTAACAAATCTGAAGATTTGTCATAATTAATTATAAGCATCTAGGAAAAAAACAAACAAAGGATTGAGAAGCAAACTTTGGAGAGAGTGAAAGCTAACATCCATAACCCTTCACTCTATCCAACTCTGTCACTCACATGTTTAGTAAGAACTTGAACAGTATGCAATGGTTCCCTTATGTTGATATCCCATTTGTAGCAATACCATATCTGCATAGCAATGGATAGGTCTGTATTTCACAATACACCACACCCCTCTTCTGATTAATAAAAATACCAGTTCACATACTCAGAGGTGGCCCTAGGTAATTTTCAATGGTAAGCAAACAGTATTTTTTGCGCCCCCCCCCCAAAAAAAACCCCAATCACTGATATATATTTTCTGTTCGTCGTGGGAGTTCTGTGTGACATATTTGGTTCAATTCCATCATTGGTGGAGTCCAGAATGCTCTTTTTTATTGTAGGTGAACTATACATCCCAGTAACTACAACTTACATATGTCAAGATCTATTTCCCCCCAAGAGCGCCTCAAGAACGCCCCTGGGCAAAATAAACTATACTGCAAATGCTTACTTTGCGTAATGGGTTGAGCCACCCCTGCACATACTATCGCTATAAGGAAAGTCAATATATTTGAATATCTAAGTGGATCCTGCACCTGGATCATATTTGCATTGAACCATATTTGACATTTTGTTGCCCATTCATACCATTTGAAGGCATATTGGAGAATCCCAACAATCATTTTTGTTTTTAATTCTAGTATGTCCATTTTTACACATTTTCTATGAAGCTATTTTGTACACCATTGCCCAATGTAAACCTTCAGTAAATTTATCCCATCAACATCTTTTCCATAGTACATATCTAAAAAAACCCTCACATTTCTTAGGCCTATGCTTCATTATATGGAAACCCCATAGAGGAAACCCTATAGAGGCACGAGTTTTCACAAAGGCATGGCATACTTTGCCTTCCAACGCAAGAATCTTGACTCCAACACAATCCTTTTCCATCCCCAATGCATGCCAATGTGTTGTAGAACTGCTGACAAAAAATGCCTGTTGACCAACCAGATAGAAGCTGAAGGAATACTGACAAAAGAAAGCCCTCTCAGAGGTGTTCAGCAGTGGAACTCTCTCCCCTGAAGTGTGGTGGAGGCTCCGTCTTTGGTAGCTTTTAAACAGAGGCTGGGTGGCCATCTATTGGGGGTGCTTTGAATGTGATTTTCCTGTTTCCTGGCAGGGAGTTGGACTGGATGGCCCACAAGGTCTCTTCTAACTCAATGATTCTATGATTATTTCATACCACACAACAATCCCCTCACAGCAATATATGGAGTTCTGTCCAAGACAGTCTTGTGACCACAGCTAATAGCATTGAGTTGCTAAATTCTCTGCCTCCACCCTATATCGTGATTTCTTGATTTTAGCCCCTCTGTGAGACTCTAGAATTAACATTCTTTGTGGACTTCAGAAGAGGAATGTGGCTGGCAATTCAGAGGGTAAGTTTCCCCTTACCACATTTCATCCCATTGTTTTTTAAAGTTCTGACCCTTCATCGCAATCTACAGCCTCTGAATGATCACTGTTTAGCAGAGTTCTGTAACTCACCCCTCCAGTTTGATATTTTGAAATCTCTGCAAGGTAGTTTTGCAAATTTTCTGAGTCATCTAATTATTTGGCAATGTGCAGGGCACTGTTCTGATGTTAGTGAGAACATTTGTGGAATCAAATCGGAACTAATTAGATTCTACTCAATTCCACTCTGCCAATTAAGACTTTACCTTTCTCCTTTGTTTGTCTCCGAGATAACTAATCTGCAGTTGGGAGGTCTGCATGTGGCTTTAAATATTACATTATCTACCGAGTTTCAAAAGCCAGGCATAACAGGAATAAACCATACGTTGGACAGATATTACATTAACAGATTCCTTCTTCTTTATAGCATTCTTTGCTGCCGAGTGATAGAAGATGCATTAACTGAAGTACATTTTATGTCTTGCAGAGCAAGTTCTTATTGCCCTGAAGTATCTAAAAGGGGATTGGGATAACAACAGGAACTCTCATAAAAACAGAAACATCAACTCCTTCAGTTCTTCAAGACTTCAGGACTGTCTATTTTCTCCCACTGATTCTCCATTCTGAGTAGAGATTTACTGAATTGTCTGTGAAGAAACCAGAAAGAAGATGAACATCTTTGGGAATCAGCAGGTAATGTTTTCCACTTAAAGTCAATAGGGCAAAAAAGAAGTATGTCAAAAGGTGAGTAAGAAATTATACTTGTTTGATCATGCTTAGGAGTCTATCAGATAGGAAGAGGCAGAACTGATAATGAATGGGTTTTCTGACAGACCTCCTAGATTTACAATTTTAATCCTCCTAAATCTAGAGGCCCTTCCACACAGCCATATTACCCAAAATATCAAGGCAGAAAATCCCACAATATCTGCTTTGAACTTGGTTATCTGAGCCCATACTGCCATATATTCCACTTCAAAGCACATAGTATGGGATTTTATTCAGCCGTGTGGAAGGGACCCAGGTTATCCTTCACTGACTATTCTTTCCTTGATGGAAGACCTTCAAGAGACAGACTTGTTGAGAGCCTACAATTTTCTGATTTCTGAAAAGTCTGAAATACCTTATTGGCATATAGTTATTAGTTCCTAACAGAGAAGATGTTGGATTATTGGGCATCCTCAGTATCTGAGGGTTCTAGAGTTTCTATGTCCAAAGGTTCCTAGATATATCTTCTCCAAACCTCTGATGTCAGGCTTGAGTTAATATTTTGGGGCATATTGCTGTGACCTTATCTCAGGACTGTTGGTTTGATGGATCTTCAGCACTGATTGCTATTCTGGGTAGAAGTCTAGATTTTCACTCTGTTTTTTTGAAAAGTATTTATCCATTCTGCCCTCTTCCCCAAGTCTTTTTGGGGGTAGCAGAAAGATGTTAAAAAAGGCATGCAGGGGTAATGTAGGGAGAAAGATATTACTGTTCAGATGGTCATTGTCTGAATGTTATGTTGAGATAATATGAAACTTTACAGATTATCAAATTAAACTCACAAGACCACACCCCCAATAACCCTGACTAAAGTGGGAACAACAAAGGCATGGCTTTTGGACTTGTCTAAAAATAGTATTATCTCAATATAGAATTAAGAATTTATCATATGGTCATCAAAGCTAGCACTACTTTAACCTTTTCAGCCAATGATTTACATATTTTCCTCTATGGCCTCAATTTTTAGAATAATCATTCAACCTCTTTGGTGACTCACAATGTAGGTTTGGTTGGGAGGAGATCAGGATGGAGTGAAATTTGGGTGAGAAAGATGTATGCTGGGAGCTTGAGATCAGAAAGGAATACACACACACACATCCCTTCAAACATATATATGCATGCTTCTCTAAGCCTTTTTTGGACAGTGCAACCTCAGAATAAATGAGAGCATCCTTTCTGTAGAACAGGAAAGTCTGCTCAGTTATTACTGTCCTTCCTCCTCTTATATGCGCTGATTCATGCAACAACAGAGTATGGGTTGAAAATGAGGTTGTGTAAGAAAGAAGGAAGAGACAAGAGGCAGTTTTAAGATTGCTCACAGATCGGTAATTCATATATGTCAAAATCAGGTCAGTGAAGTAATTGAATGATGTTGCCATGTAACAAACTTGGAAAACTGCTGGCATTGAAGCAACTTCCCCTATTTCTTAGCAGAAGGCCTCTACATGGAAGTAAAAGCCCCACTGTCTTGCTTATCAGAAAGAGACATACGCATACATATATATTTTTATATAACTTTTCTGCAGGCAAAACCAGAGGTCCACATTTTTGAAAGCCTCTCAAAAGGCGAAGAAGCATCCATTGCTACGCGAAAGGAGGAAGTGAAGAACGGTCTTGCCAAGTTGGGAATTAAATGCAGTGTGGTAAGATTTGAGTAATGTTATCACCCCAAAGAATCTCAAAATCACCTCCAAATCTTCAGGGCATGCTTTATTACAAGAGGTTTCTTTAGGGGTTTTTTTTAATCATTCTTCTGTTTCCTTTTTCTGGCAACTGAGCTTTTCTATGGCTATGATCACAGGAACACAGAAAATCTGCCTTATATTGAATATAGCTCAGTGGTTCCCAACTTTTTGCCCTCCAGTTGTTTGGACTTCAACTCCCAGAAAACACAGCCAGCTTACAAACTGGTAGGAATTGTGGGAGCTAAAACACCTGGAGGACCAAAGGTTGGGAAGCACTGATCTAGTTGAAAACATTTTACATTGAAAGCAAGCTTTCAATGTTTTAAACAGTAGACCTTTCGAGACCTATCTAGACATTCTTTAGACAGAATGTGATTTCAATTTGGATCTGATGTTGGCCTTTCTCTTAGATCATTTCCTACCAAATGCCCATTCACTAGAACAGAAATGTCAATAAATGCATATAAACCTCAGTTAATAATCTATATATGTTCCTGAACATGAATCTATTTCCAAATTCACAGATATATTTTTTATTCTTTCACCAACTTCCAATTTTCTTAAGATTTGCACATTGGTGACAAACTCACAGATAGGTTTTATTTTTGAACATGCTGATTGTAAAACTGGAGAGGCAACCCAATCTGTTGTTCTATTTCTTTCAGTTTTGCTGTTCACAGCTGTCAAGTAAGATTCTGGTGGCAGCTGCCATTCCCTTTCCCCACTGTAGGCATGCACACCCTGGCTAAAGTTAGAGTAGAATTTCATTCCTTCCCAACTCAAGCTTTTAGTGCAAAGCTTACTGCAGCCATACCAATGTAACTCAGCACTAAAAGACTATATTTCTCAAGCACCCCTTCAACATTATCTTTGTTGCAATGATGCTACAAAATCCCTTTTAGCAACAGAGAGGACATGGAAGGAAAGTAGGATCAGGTGGGTATAAACAGATACAAAAAAAAAAGCTTTCCCAGAGGCTTTGTTAACTGAGGTATATTTGTATATACATAAAGATGGGGATGTGTAATCTTTCAGAAGATGGAGGATACCTGCAAAAATATAGGCAATTAAAAGTACATATTCTTTTTTTTTCTCCTTATCAGTAATTTCCACAAGAATGTAATGTGACTTAAAAACTTATACTCAGAGGCTGAAGACAGATTCCTCCTCATTTCTCCTTTTTACTTCTATCAGGACAAAGTCCCCAATATTGCTGTCCTGGGATCCGGAGGGGGTATGCGGGCCATGATTGCCCTTTATGGCACACTAACAGAGCTGAAGAAATCCAACCTCTTGGACTGTATTACATACTTGAGTGGGGTATCAGGTTCCACTTGGTAAGAGCTATTCCTATGTGAATAACAATGTGACGACAGCATGTGGCAGAACAGTCTTTTTAAGGAAAAGCTTAGGGCCAGTGATTAAAGCTAATGCGCCAAGAGCAGATTTTATCATGAGCCATGAGGTGTTCAGGTATTTACTGCATAGCTTTAAAAAGATAACAAAAAACTACTGTTGTAAAGAAAACTGAGCAGAAGAAAAGATGCACCATGATGATAATTTTCCTAAACCAAGCTATCTTCCATCTACCTACTCTAAAAAAGAGTGGCATAGTTGGCATAGATAAGGAAAGACACCTGTTGTGGTTCAACAGCAACAGCATGATGGGACTGAGAGTGCAGAGAGTGCAGATGAGCATGATGGGAATGGGAATACAGATGCAGGTGTGGGCTTTCAGTTTTCTCAGTTTTCTCAGTCACAATCTGTAGCTAGAGACAAACCACTTTTCTCACAGGAACGGAATGTGGCTGATAAGACAGCTGGTGAAGGTCAGGCTGTCCCACAGGTGTTGAGAAGGAGTTTACGAATTGCGGCCAAATCTTGAGCTCATCCGTTGGTGGGAAAACTGCTTGTTAGCTGCTTGTTTGATGTTCAATGTTTTGATGTTTTACCTATAAGTAAACTGGCTTGGAGCTGATTCGGCGTCAGTTCCAACGTTGCAAAAATGGCTCGCTTTGTCTCCGGCTCTGGGGCTTGGGGCTTGGGAAAAGCCTGCTTCATGTAACCTCATGCTATTTCCTGGACTTTACTCTGCTTCTTTGCTTCAAGTCTCCTGCTTTGACTCAAAGGGATTATATTGGATTTTTACCTTGTACTACTGATCTTTTTACTGCTTATACTCTGATTTGTTTGAAAAACCTCACAATAAACTTCTTTCCTCACAAGTTTGGCTGATTTGTCAGAGAGAGCAAGGTGAATCTTAGCCTGAGATACAACAACACCCTTCACCTGTTTGACAATCTTTTTGTACAAAAGGCATGACCTGTATAGTAACTTTCAAAACATATCACATCTTTAGGTACTTAGTATATTTCAGAAGTTATCTTTTTATGTCCCAGTTCATACATTTCATCAGTGTACAGATAAAAGTGTTATTTTTTTTCCATATGTGTGTATATCTAGATGCAGGCTGAGAGGGGAAAAAAACCTATTGACTATAATAGTACTTATTATTTTTCATTCATTGAATATATCATACTGTTTATACTGTACATCTCATGCTCACAGCTAAGAGAATATTTTAATTCCTTGATATTCAGGTAATAGTTATAAATGAGGTAGACAATGTAAACTCTCACATGAAGCTTTATTTCCAACCTGATGTGAGAAAAACTAATACATTTGCCCATCCTTAGAGATCAGGGAATATTTTATTTCATTATTTTAAAAAAAATCAAGATTGATCATAACTCATACAATTCAATTATGGGAGAAAATTCAGTTGTCAGAAAATGCATCCAGAATAATGGGGATGCATTAAATCGGGGAATCCATTAAATCAGTAGTGAAATTGTGTTTATCTAGTTACATGTACACGTATAGGTATACATATGAATTGGGACTCAAGTAGTCCCAACATAGGGACTTATTCAAATATCAATGTGTTGTATACCTTACTCTTGAAACCATTTTGATGCAATGTACTTGGAATTTCACAGTGAATAGACTGAACTTCAACTTAGCCACCCTGAGTCCCTCTTCAGAGGTCAAGAATAGGATGGGATATAAATGTTCTAAATAAATAAATACATAAATAAATAAAATAAACTTACTATTTGGAAAAGTTCGTGGGCCACAAGATCTAAAATAAGACCACAAGACCTAGATGATTAACTATGTTTTTCTGTGGGTAAGCAGATGTTGACTACTGGATGGCATATATTCTGTATCAGAAACTAGAGCTGATGTGGTTTATCCAATGAATTTTTTTTGAATCAGCACTCCAAGTAACCAAACCAAATCTAAAGTTGACCAAAACCTGATTTGTAATCCTTTTGGAGAGTAGTCCCTGGTCAAGGTGGTCCCTGGTCAAAGTGGTCCCTGGTAAGAAAAAAAGGTTGGGAACCACTGGTTAAGTGTTTGTTTCCTTGGGAGCACTTGTTGAAATTAAAAAGAATCACAATTTCCGAAGCATACAACTATGTTCAGGATAAATAAATACCTTTCAAATTAGGATCATAGCTAAAAACTGTTTCTAAATATTTGCTCTTTCTTGAAAAAGGTGCATGTCATCTCTTTATAAAAATGAGGACTGGTCAGAAAAAATGGAAACTTTGGAAAATCTTCAGCGTGAAAAACTTGTCAAAGGCCGGTGGGATTTTGTGAAGGCTAAAAAGGCTGTGCTGGAGGCTTCAAGAGATGAAAATTACTCTCTGACAGATTTCTGGTCCTATTTTATTGTGTATAAGCTCACAAAAGAGGTAGGTGGAGATTGGGGAAAAATGTGTGTGCTCAAAACCTTAATGCTAGCAAACTACACTGCAATAGTTATTAACAGTAACCCAGACAATAATGTCTTTTCAAAAGTTTGACTACAATCTCTAGTATATGACTTACATATGATTTCATCCATACACCAACAAGTTTTCAATGCTGGTGGGGAAAATTATTGTTTTGTCTCTGTTAAATCAAATGTGCCAAATCCGTTTGGGGTGACCTGTGACTTGGGAGATAATTGAAAAGACTGAGTTAACTTAAATGAAATAAAAGAAAATCAATTTGCATTGTTTCAGCTTGATGAGAGTAAATTGTCACAGCAAAGGATATCTTGTGAGAATGGGAAAAATCCTTATCCCATCTATGCCGCTGTGGACAAGCACACCTATAGCGAAAACCATGCAGGTACTTGAGTAATGCACATACAATAGTTTAAAGTCCTCATTGAATGCATATTGACCTTTCTTCTAGAGTCAATTTAAACATATAAAGCCCTAACAAGTTTCAGATCAGCGTGTATATCAATTTGTTTTCTCTAGTACGAATCTAACCACTTTGCTAAGGCTTTTTTTGGGCATATCAATTCATCAGTGTAAGACTGCAGGTTATAAGTGAGAGGCAGAAAAACACCAAGTATTCCTGGTTATACAGGCTTAAAGGTGAGCAATGGGAAAATACTGTTTTTCAAAAACTCCACAGCTACTAGTAAAGTTTTGTCCAGTACAAGTATTGTCACTGGGAAAACTGGATGTGATGGACAAAATGGGCAAATTCCATATTTGTTCCTGATACACTAGGAAAACTTAATGTGATGGGCAAAATGGGCAAATTTCACACTCATTCCTAATATACATTGGCAGATTTGTTTTGCTTTTCCCAACTTTTGAAATTTGATAAATTCCATTCGACCAAAAAAAATATTAATTTCCCATTTACTCTTGGTTGAAAACTAAGCTTCTTCTCGTGGGATATTAGGTAGTATATCTACACTGACCCTAGTGTGACCTTAGATCATCCCTGCGGCAGCTAAACATGCCATGAAGTTGACATGGAGAAGGGAATTTAAATGTGGTTTTCCCTCAGGTTAAGCTAATTCACAGGAAAATGTGAATCCGGAGCTAGAACTTGAGTTCTCGAGTTCATGTGTACATGGGGTAAAGATAGCTGGGCCAATTCCTGGGATGTCAGATTGAGCCCACTTATTGGGTCAGTATGAGGTCATCCACTGAAATCCCAAACAAGATGCACCTACACTGTAGAATCAATGCTATTTGACACCACTTTTACTGCCATGGCTCAGTGCTATGGAATCATGGAGTCATTGTTTTATGAGATGTTAAGCCCACTTTGTGTCTCACCAAATGAAAAATCATGTGATTTCATAGCATTCGCACATGGCAGTTAAAGAACAGCAAACTGCATTAATTCTACATTGTATATGCAATTACAGATTGTTTTATGCTTGTGTGGATAGGTCACATATGTAGCTATCCAATTGTTTGATTAGTAAGAAATTTGTAATTTACTGCCTATGTGCACAAAGACTTAACTTAATATCCCACAGATTCCTTCTGAAGTTACTCTTGTACAGGATAACCATGTTTGTTTGTGCTGTGTGTTATATGGGTGGGATTTATTGGAAGCTTCCTTTGAAGCTCATTCACTCATCTCTGGGACTTAATTTCTTGTTGGAACTTGTTGTTAACCATAATATCCACCCAAGTCTTTATTTTTCCTCTTTGCATTTCAGGAAGTTGGTTTGAATTCTCCCCACACAACACTGCCGTTCCTGATGTAGGTGGAACACTTGGCACAGCTGGCTATGTTGACATGAAACGTCTTGGAAGTATATTCAGCAGTGGAAAACTGTATTTAGAGAAAAAGGAAAAAAGTATTTGCTATCTTCAAGGTACATCACCCAATTTTTGTTTCTTGAAATGACAAGCACCAGGAAGACAGCATGCCCTGGATGAACTCTTCAGAGAGTACAGGTTGCTTTTTATAAGTAAATTTGTTGGTATATTTAGACCTACATTCGACAGGCAGTCTTTCTTCAAGGTTTAGTTAAACTGCCATTCTAGTCCTATCTGAAGTTACCAAAACCTGAAGCTTTTGCACAACAAGTATGGACTGGACTCTAGTGACGTAATGCATGTTTGCACTTCAAGCATAACAGAAAATAGTGTGTGAAATAAGCGTTGCCTGCCAACCTCTGAAATAACGAGACCACACAGCAGTTCTTTGGGTTAAAATATGGGCAACTGTTATTAACTGTTACCTATTTACCTGAATCTAATTCTATGGGTCCTTAACTTGGTGTGGCAAAGCCAAGGTAGCATCCCTGCCTGGTCTACCCTTCAGCTAGTTAGGGAGAAACACCTGGGTCCCCTGGAGACCTAACCCAGGCAACCTCTAAGAGAAATGTGTTAAGGCAAGATTCTCCCCATTCCTAGGCCATTTGATTTCACCTCACCTTGTCAAAATGAACCCCAGGTGAGCATTTTAGTTGATGGCCACCCCTGAGGGGGGTGCCTTGGGTGTACACCCAATTTTACATTTCCCTATTTGTTTTCCATTGCAGTCTATTTAAAGCCACACCATCCCAATTTGCCCTGAACAGTATAGGGTAGGCGAAAAAGCTTCTTTGAACATAGGAGGGGAAAAATTTCTTCCCGGTCCCTTATGGCAACCAAAAATTATACTGTTTAATAGGTGGGTGTGGTGGGTCGATGATCAGGTCAAAAATGAGAAAAGGGGAGAGGCCAGGCTATTAGTCTGACTCCGCCCCCTTCAAAGTAGTTCAGGCCGGAACTACATCTCCCTCTCTTTCAGGGGAGGAGGCAAACTTCTGACTCCTCCCCCCCCAAGCTGCGCCGGGGTGGGAAAGCTTCTTAACAATGTGTAATATTGCAAGAGTATGCATGCTCATTCTGGGAGGAAAAGCCCAGTTTTCAATTGTACTCCCTTGTAACTGTGTTTAAGCACTTTGGGCATATATGGGAGTACTGGACATGGAGGCATTCCACACTTAATGTAAAAGCACACAAGGTTACTCATGAGCCAGGATTAGTACGATGCTTTATCCAGGAGGGTCAGTGCCATGGAGGAAGGAGGGAGCTTTGGGCTGCCTCGTTGCACTCTGTGTGTGTGTGGGGAAGGGAGGACTCTTTTGCTCACTGGGGGCGAGGGGCTGCTGTCAGCACAGGGAACTGGGATTGAGGCATAGTGAGGCATCTCCTTGGTCCTTCTTCCTTTCCCCCTTCCCTGTGTGATGAGGGGAAGCCAAGACAGAGCGATATGTGGGGCAACAGGTCCCCATGCCTCCTTAGGCATGTGTCGCAGGGGCACAGCGAGTCTGGCTGATTCCTGCAGCATGTGTGGCAAGGTCAAAAGAAAGAAAGAAAGAGAAAGAGAAAAAGAAAGAAAGAAAAAAAGAGGAAAAGAAAAAGAAAGACGGACAGACCAATAACCACATGAAGTATGTACTATTTAGTAGAGAGACAGTATAGTATAGTGGTTCAATTGTTGGATTAGGACTTTAGAAGACCAGTGTTCAAATCTCTGTTTACGCATAAGTTTTGAAGTCACATTTTCTCAGCTGAAGAGGAGAACAGTGACAAACTTCATTTCAGTAAATTGTGCCAAGAAAACCCTATGATAGGGTTGCCATAAGTCATAGTTGACTGAAAGGTGCATACAAAAACAACTCCTACCTTTTAAATCTTGATAATTTTTGTTTCTTTGACATTAGTAGACCTGTTGGATCCATTACAAGGATATGCCATAAAGGGAAAACATCTGAAGAATTGCCATTACCAAGTGAAAAAGAAGAGGATCACTAATACCATTTCTCCTTTATTTGCAGGACTATGGGGAAGTGCCCTTGCAAGTGAAAAAGAAATTAAGAAGGCTATAATTAGTATGGTTCTTTCTGTTTTTAAATCTAAAGTCAGTGATTATGAGAGTGTGCTTCATCTAGGAGGTTTTCTTAGAACTTGCTTATCTAAGAATCCACCACTAAGGATTCTGCCCATAATGAGTAGTTGCTTTACTTTCAAATCCTGCACATAACCAAGTGCATGACCAGAACAGAATTCAGGCAAACTTTATGTTGATATTGCATTTGATTGCTCTGGGCATGTTTTAATGTAAGCTAAATATAGAACCATTATTAGCTCTTTAATTGTATTCAATTTTTATTGTATTTAATGCAAGATTTGTATGCCATTATGCAATATTTGCATATGGTGAGCATTTTTATATTGGATTTAATTATTTTTATGTAAATGGTCTACGGCCTACATACTTATATATAATTGAATGGTCTAATAGGAGAAAGAGGGAAGAGAAAAACAGAGGCAGGTTACAGTGAAGCGCAGAATATATGATAAAGCAAATTGAGAGGAAGTTGGTAAACCTCAAGCCAGTCATCAGGGAGCATAGACCTGCAAATATTTGTAGATCTAATAAATATGGGGAAAATAATACTCAAGGTATACTGAGTATAACACTGAAGTACTGCAAAATCATTGTAAAAGGGAAAGTCAATGATATCTTGGCAGTAGATTTGTGAATTTAGACGAATTATTAGCTTAACATAAATTCACAATGGTCAAAGGGTTTTCTTTATATACTTTGATTGTAAAGTTAGAATATGAGAACTTGCTGCTACATCAAGTAACAACCTGGCTGTTCTCAGCCATACCAATTTCTTGTGATAGATTACCCCTGGTGATAGAAGGGAAATGTTGTTGGCATAGCTAAACAATGGATGTTTCACAATTGTAGGACTTATAATGAGGTGGAAAGTAGGTCTTCCTGTGTATGAATGTATGACTTTATCTTTCAAGGCGCTTTGCTAGACTTTATCAAGAAAGACAAAGAAAGCTACTTTCCTTCTCCTTCAACAGACGTAGGTACGTGTAATAATCTCCCATACATTTCCCCAAATCTTCTTTGCTATGATATCTTATTGTTCCTGTTGCTATGTGTATTCAAATTGTTTTCAACATATGGTTACCCTAAGACAAAACTTTCATGGGGTTTGCTAGGACTGAGAGTGATGGTTCACCCAATGTCACCCAATGGGTTTCCATGATCAAGTAGGGAAGTGAACCATGGTTTCCAAAGTTGTAGTCCAATGCTCAAACTGCTGCACCATACAGGTCCCAACCTGGCCATATCCACAAATCCTCAGACATTCCGACAGCAGTATTACCATCTTGTTCTTCTCTCTATATAACATTGATTTATGGAACCATACGTTGTGGACCAGTGATGCCAAAACAGAATGGCATGGAGATACACTGCTCTCCCTGATATAAGTCACCTATGATATACACATTCACTATCATAAGGTTCTCAATAAAAGCTGCAGGTGGATTATTTTCACAACTAGTATTTCTGTTGGGAAGCAAGCTTAATTTTTCCATCCTCTTTCCCACATATGTCAGGTGACAGAGAAATAAAGCACCTTCAGCAAAGATATTATGATATCTCTGAGAGCAAGAGTTGAGAAATGGAAGGGCTGCTTTCTTCTCTTTTACCTGCTAGGAGAGCTCAATGAGAGGAATGTTTCAGTCTCAACTGATACTGTTAGGGGTATCTTGGAATCACCAGCTAAGATAAGTGTAACTGCCTAGAGCACAGAGTTTCTTAAACTGTGCTCCTACAGATGTCTTGGACTTCAGCTCCCACAACTCCTAACAGCTGGTAAACTGGCTGGGATTTCTGGGAGCTGAAGTCGAAAAACACCCGGAAGAGCATAGTTTGAGAATCACTGGTCTAGAGCCTTCAGTTTAGAGGTAAAATAGGTTTCCTATTGATTCCAGTGTGGTGTCATGAATTGTGTGTTTCTTATTTATTTAGTTCGTTACGATATTTCCACCCCGCCTTTCTCGAACCCGAAGGTGATTCAAGGTGGCTTTACAACATAGGCAGATATTCGATGCCATTAAAACAATGCAGAAATTACAATAAACATTTAAAACAGAATTATAAAATGCATACATTAAAACCTATAAAAACATATAAAATCGCTACCTTCACTATTCGCCTCGTCATCCAAAAACATCGTCTAAGCCGTTCCAGTATTTGATTCCACATAGTTCCGTATTTATCTATTGCACTAGGTTCCCAAAGGCTTGTTAAAAAAACAACATGTTTTGACTTTTTTTGTGGAAGGTCAGGAGGGAAGGGGCTGGTCTAATATCCCTAGGGAGGGAGTTCCACAGCTGAGGGGCCACCACTGAGAAGGCCCTATCTCTTGTCCCCGCCAATTGTGCCTGCAAAGAATGCGGAACCAAGAGCAGGGCCTCCCAAGATGATCTTAAACTCCTAGATGGTTCATAGGGGGAGATACGTTCAGACAGGCAAGCTGGGTTGGAATTGTTTTGGGCTAAAAACATAGTGTTGGACTATAATTATGACTAGAGTTTGAATTCCACTTGACTTTGGAAATCCAGTGACCTTGAGTGAATTACATGTTCTCATCCTCAGAGGAGGTCAATAGCAACTCCCCTTTAAACACATCTGCCAACCCCACCACCCCATGATAGGGTCACCATAAGGTGGAAATGCCTTGAAAATATATAACAATAATTAATCCTTGTTCCCTTGCAAATGTGTGTGCGTGGTTGGGGGAGGGGGAATCTCTGCTACATCTCCTGGTATTCCTTAGAATATAGGAGGAAATATTTGTCTGGCTGTCAGCTAGCCTTTGTGAGACCCAGATGAGGTCCTGCTTTGGACTCAACCAATATCTACAAGGAATAGCAGAGGGCAGTTCATCCCCCTATTTTTCACAGAGGTGCCAGTGAAGCAAGATAATTTAGACTACAAAGATCACTGGCTAGCATTTGTAACTTTCTGCATTGTTTAATTTCAAAGAATTTCAGAACCTTAACATACTTAGCCAGGCTTATCAGTACGTTCTGGAGTTGCAATTGTCTGCATCAGATGGGGCAGCATCAAATCCAGAGGCATTCTTTGATCAGCTTGAAATACTTTTGGGACGTAAGTAAAATTTGAACAATAAATCTTTATTCTGGAAAGCAAATGAGCTTTTACGTATGTATGTGTTACTGAACATCTGCATTGTCTTCCCGCATAACTTATTTAGGAAAATGGAATCATGGGCAAGAGAACTGTATTGTTAGAGTTCCATACTCATCACTTCTTTGATCCATGAGTAATTTGAATTTTGATTAGGAATAATCAGATTATTCTTTATGTACCTTCATGCTATTTCAGACTTAGAGTGACCCATGATTTTAAGGGGGCAAAATTTTGCTAGCAAAACTAGTGGTATTTTGACTGCTGATCCACACACACACACAGTACATTGCGTGGTTTCTCACCCTACCTTTATCCAACATGACCTTGTGCATTTTATGAAGTCTACAGAACCAGCAAAAGCTATGCAATAGTCAAAGAGATGCGTCAGAACTGGGCCTTGTTAGATGAAGAAAAGAGAGAAGATTTGTGTGTGAAACTGTGGGAAGCTCTAAACAAGGATTTTGGAGGCAAGTATTACAGTAACCATTCATTGCTCTTTAACAATGCTTTCCTCTAGAAGTATCCATCTAAGTTTAATGGTATTTGGTTTAGATAAAATTCTTTCCATTCATGTCTAATAGTATGCTCAGGTGGGGAGGGGGTGCTGATATGGTGGGAGTGGTACAAACACTTATGGTGAAGTTTAAAATTCATCCTTTGCACAAAAAGTGCCTATACAGCCATAAATACTGAACATGTAATGGAAGGGGAATGGGGAAGTAGCAATGGAGCATACAGACACATGGCATGGGGAATAAGAATTGTTACAGGAAATGACTGAAGGAAATGATTGTAACCCTGTAGAAAAATATACCTTCTGTTATGTTTATTCATATCATGATCTGATCACCCTACTCAATATATCCCAAATGCATGGGGTTTTGGGGGTAACAATACAAAAGGTTTGCTAGGGTAGACCCTCTTTCATCCGGACTCAGCCCCCCCAAACAAACTCAGCCCCCCCAAAAACGAAATCCTGGCTATGGGCCTGGTCCAGCTCATAACTTCTTGCTTCAGTTGGTCTGAGAAGTTTCTCTTTCTGCACCCCATCAGACACACTTGTGTGTTATGAATACTCATGTGTGTCTGACCATGGGAGCCTTGTGTGAAATGTATAACACACTGGATTGTTACCAGACTAAAATGAAGTTAAAGCATGTGCCATGTATATTTTGATATCAGCTGCACTGAACAAATCAATGCAAACAAAAATAAAATATGCAACTTCTTTCACTCGCCTTCATGTTCCTAAAACATATGATGAATTGCACATTAGAATTTGACATTAAGATAACCTACTGTATCATCTTTATCTATACCAAGGCATGTATTCTTTGCCTCTTTATATTTCTCTCTTTGCTTATTTTCATTTTTCTCAGGACCTGAAGAAAAGCTCAAAAAGCTTCCTATTTACAGACCTATTGAAGTAATTAAAGGCAAGTAAATGAATATTTCCTGTACATTGCCCCCACCTAGTACATTTCAAAATGGTAAAGCAACAATGAATTAGAATTATATCTTATGCAGCAGCAGAATACAAGGTAATCTTAAGATTGAGTTAAAGGGTGATTGGGTTTTTTTTGCTCCTCCCATAACTAAGTACCTTATTGTATGAACCCTTTATTCCAGTGTAGTAGCACTTTCATTGCTATAGGATGCATACTGTGATAAGCATCTTTGACATCAGATCATTCTTCATTTCTGCAACTGCACTGATTTGGCATTCCATGATTCCAGGATCGCATCTCTGCATACCATCATAGCCCTTCTTTTCCACACTTCTGTCATTCTATATTTTTAAAAATAAAGCAATTTTGCAATTGTTTTACCTATGTATTTATTTATCTGCTTTCACTTACTATGTAATATAGCTAGTTTCCTCCATTTCTCATTGCAAATATGATCCTAGTCATCTTTGGTTGTCAGTGGAGCCTGGGCCAGAATTTCCTGCCCAGATCCAATGTAAAACTTTCACTGAATTCCAAAGAGAGATATCAGACCATATTAAAAGACTAAGGATTCTATCACAAAAGGCATGCAAATTGGCACTGTAGTCAGACCATCACCTTTGGTGACGGCTTCAACTGCACAACACAATGTGCATCCTGCTGCCAGTTGAATTTCTTCCTGAAATTACCCCATCCCTCAATTGCTTGCTTCCTGCAACTCAAACCCATTGCATACCTTGGTTCAACAAGTCTGTTCTGCCTCTGTGCTGACATGCTAGCACTAAAATAATTTCGAGAGCCAGCATTAGCCTTTTCTGTCCCCTCCCCTTCACTCTAATTATTCCCAAGGTGTTTTCTGCTTCTTTAATGTTTTACAGTTATATTTGCCTTTTTGTTGTTTTTCAGAACTGCATACTCCCTTCTCCAAATTGTGCAATTTTTAATTGCTCCGGGCCCACAGTAATTTGGCTTGCCCACTATTCACTTTGTAAGATATACCTTAGCTTGAATCTTGCTGTTAGTCATTCCCAACTATAGCTCATTATATTATCTGCTTCATATGTATGCAAATCCCCTTAATTCAATGGGCCAATTATCTCACACCAGAAGCAACTTGCAGTTTCTCAATGTATTGTCGAAGGCTTTCATGGCTGGAATCACTAAGTTCTTGTGGGTTTTTTCGGGCTATATGGCCATGTTCTAGAGGCATTTCTCCTGACGTTTCGCCTGCATCTATGGCAAGCATCCTCAGAGGTGAGGTCTGTTGGAAGTAGGAAAATGGGTTTATATATCTGTGGAATGACCAGGATGAGACAAAGGACTTTTGTCAGTTGGGCTGGGTGTGTTAATGTTCCATTGACCACCTTGATTAGCATACAATGGGTTGAGTGTGCCCGGAGCAAATTCTTCTTGAAAGGTAATTAGATGTCCCTGCCTGTTACCTCTCTGCTGTTTTTGCTGTTGCATTTTTTTTTCAATTTTTTAATACTGGTAGCCAGATCTTGTTTATTTTCATGGTTTCCTCCTTTCTGTTGAAATTGTCCACATGCTTGTGGATTTCAATGGCTTCTCTGTGTAGTCTGACATGGTGGTTGTGAGAGTGGTCCAGCATTTCTGTGTTCTCAAATATGCTGTGTCCAGGTTGGTTCATCAGGTGCTCTGCTATGGCTGATTTCTCTGGCTGAAGTAGTCTGCAGTGCCTTTCATGTTCCTTGATTCTTGTTTGGGCGCTGCGTTTGGTGGTCCCTATGTAGACTTGTCCACAGCTGCATGGTACACGGTAGACTCCTGCAGAAGTGAGAGGATCCCTCTTGTCCTTTGCTGAACGTAGCATTTGTTGGATTTTCTTGGTGGGTCTGTAGATTGTTTGTATGTTGTGTTTCCTCATCAGCTTCCCTATGCGGTCAGTGGTTCCCTTGATGTATGGCAAGAACACTTTTCCTCTGGGTCGATCTTTGTCTTGACTCTCGTGGCTTGTTCTTGGTCTTGCAGCTCTTCTGATGTCCGAGGTGGAGTATCCATTGACCTGTAAAGCCCAGTTGAGGTGGTTCAGTTCATCTTGGAGGAGGTGGGGTTCGCAGATTCTTTTTGCACGGTCTGCCAAGGCTTCTCATGTCGCTCCTGACACAAAATAATAAATAAATAAATAAATAAATAAATAAATAAATAAATAAATCCTACAGTAGTTGGGACTTCATGTGAGATTTACCGTAGACATTCAGTATCAATTAGACTTTTCCTGTTTCTCACGTTCCTGTTTTTCTTTCTTTTAGCACCAGTAGAAAAAGTCCTGGCATCTGTTCCTTTAAGCCCTCTTCAAGTAGTTAAAGGCAAGTAACTCAATATGAAATTTGTTTTGCCAGATACCTGTCTCCTGTGTCATATAGTTTATAGAGACCTGGAGCATATCTACACTGTAGAATCAATGTAGTGGACACCACTTTAAATGCCATGGCTCAATGCTATGAAATTGTGAGCATTCTAATTTTTCAACATTTTTAAGCCCTCTCTGCCAAATACTGTTGGTTCCTCATGATCCTACAGCATTAATCTATAACAGTTAAGGTGGTGCTAAACGGCATTAATTCAACAGTGTAGATATACCCTTACATACTGAATGGCTGAATTCTTGTCCCACAAATGAGATCTAAAGAGTCATAGGTTTTACTTGTTAACTGTGATTGCATCTTTATTGTTTTTGTGATTTTTTAAAAAATGACTATTTGAAGTAAATTATTTGGGAACGTTACTATTTAGTGCCTAGTAGGGCTGGGTAACCACGGAAAAATTTGGTTCTAAACTCGTTTTGTTTTTAGGTGGCCCTTGCGTTTCATTTTTTTAATAATTCCGAAATTTTCCTTTTAAAAATTTCGAAATTTATGAAATTTCATAAATTTTGAATCGATTCGTTAATGGCGGACGCGATTGCGCAATATGCTAAAAAAACCTCCAAATGGGACAGGGGGAACTTCTGAAGCTTCCCTCTCCCTCTGTTGTTGACTGTTGGTGTGATAAAACAAACAATAACTATAAAACTTGCACCAGACATGCGAAAATAATTACGAAATAATTACGAAACAATTACAAAATAATTATGAAATAAATTGAAAAAATGGTTTCGAATCTAATTTACTCCTCACACTATTCCTGCATGGTTCAATATTGGATTGTAAGCTAATTTTAATACGAATTAATAACGAATTACGAAATTAACGAACGAAACCGCCCAGCCCTAGGTAGTAACCTCAATAAATAAAAATAATATCATCAACTTGTTTCAATGTATCAAAATGGGATATGTATGTAATCAGTAAAGCATAGTACAAACAAAATCTTGACACTCTGTGTGTGTGAGTATTGCACTGTGTATTTTATTTTCATATGGAGTTTCATGACTTTGAGTGGAAAACAAGCTATGAATGGAAGGAAGATTGAACTTACGTGTGCTCAAATAGATATGATTTTTTGATCAAAGATCAACTGAAGTTTCTAAAGTACAGGAAATAATTTCAGAATAAAATATGTGGGCTGTTAGAGGAGTTAAGGATTTCTTGTTATAATTTTCATGTTCTTCTTTTATATTTTTCATTCTGAATCTCATTATTTTTAGACTGGATCAGATGTATCCACAAGACCAATTCATGCATTCTGACCTGGTCATGGGGATGCACAAGTAATTTCTTGTACAACTTATGTAAGTATATTCTTCAATTGCATTCAACGTACTTTTAGTGGAAATAATTCACTAGAGTATTTGTAGGAGAAATTACATTTTGAATGCAACGAAGATGTTGAGAAACAGGGACAGGGAGAGTGAAATGAAGCTATATATCAATATTTGAATGGTAATGAATAGAATCAAGTTCTGCTTGCCACAAATCATTCACCAGCTGATTTATCATCCTCGACTGAACAAAATAACAATACAAAGAAGCAGACATTTTGAAAATTCAAACAAAAAAAGAGAGATGTTTATTTAATAATAATATTTATTTATTTATTTATTTACCATATTTATATACCGTCTTTCTCAGCCTGAAGGCGACTCAAGGTGGTTTACAGTTGGCACAATTCAATGCCCCCAACAAAATAAAATGTAATTAAAAACATTTAGCACATAACATAATATAATATATAAATATAATAAATAAAATATAAAATCTATATTTTATAAAATATAGATCATATATTTTATATTATATAGCACATAATATATAAAATAATAATAATAATGATAACACTAACAATAGTAACAACAATAATCTAAGATTGTGAGCAGCTTTGGGTCCCAGAATAAATAAAACAATGATGATGGTGATAATGATAATGATTCTCAGTATAAATAAAATAACAAAATTAAAATAAAATAATAAAGTTTATCATTGTGAGTAATACTTTGGGGCCTTTAAAGCAATGGCTTCATTTGTCTCTGGCATAATTATCCCATATTATTATGTTATTTCCCTCTCTTACATGCTTTCCTCTTCCTGTATAGGCACCATAGACTGATACTTCTTAACAGAGCAAACTTATGCATACCTTCCAATATTTCACAGATGAAAATAAGGCCAAGGTAGAAAAAGTAATAAGTGAAGAAGTAAACACAAACTGGGATAAGCTGCAGTAGTTTGATTTTTCCTGAGTCTATTGGGAAGAGCAGGATTTCATGCTTTCTTCCCCCTTTCCTGTTGCTGAGTTAATTGGTTGCAAACTAAAACATTTAAAAAGTAGTTGAAATGTGGGATGACAGAGTATCGGGACATTTGGGAGGTATGTGCATGGACCTTTAGGACTCTATCCCATGGGCAGGAGGAAAGAGAGGGCGGAGTGAAGGAAAATGGGAGAAAGCATCACTAAGAGTGGAGACCCAACTTACCTTGGCAAGATATGTCTTCAGGATGGCCCCCAATCCTATGACATTTTCATATAATACTGTAAATAAATAAATAAAATATAAATACCATAACATATCAATACTGTAAATAAATACATAAAACAAATAAATACATTTTCCCATCTTCTTTCAGCTGTCTTCTGTATCCTGTCACTTTCCTCAGTCAGGAGTCCTCTCTCCGTTTTCACATGCTGGCAGGACAAATTTCCATGGGTAGCCACCAGAAGTGGCTATGTCTTAAGGGATGGTTTCCATGGGAATCTGTTTTGCCAGTAGATGAAGATGGTAAGAAAACGAAGAAAATTGGGGTGGGATTAGGTCCTAATCTCTGTTAAACTACAAGTACTAACCTAAGCGCATGCTCTGTTGAAGAATTCAGGTCTCCTATTAACTCTTCAGAACATTATTCTATTTTAACATTGTGTCTGATTTGAATCAGTAAATCTCACAACTTCTAGACAAAACACACATAAGATCTTGATATATAGGTATCTCCAGCTATAATTGACCCTCTTTTTGAACACGTGATAATAAGGTTGGAGCTTGTGGTAGGAACCAAGAAAATATATCTGAACCCCAAATCAAATTTTATGCATGAGTTTTGGCTACTATTACTATATTTGTGTTTGTGCAAACTTTTTTACATTCAAGTTCTGTTTTGCTTCACATTGTTAGCTGACGTCAAACTTCCTGAGTTGAGAAGGAAAGAGGTCATATCTCTGATTGATGCTGGGCTGGCTATAAACAGTGCTTATCCACTTGTCCTCCATCCAGACAGAAATGTGAAACTGATTCTCTCCTTTGACTTCAGTGGTGGGGATCCTTTTGAGGTAATTCATTTGGTTAATGGTGCAGACATACAAGATCATGACCCTTCATCTCCTTCCTATTGCCAGGGATTTAGAGTGAATGTGAATAATAATGAATGGAGAATATCCAAATGGAATGAAAGTAGGAAATAGATGACTTTCCAACAATCAAACGAATGACCAACCAACAAACAAAATAATTATACATTTATATTCCTTACCTGTCTCTCCTTTTGACTTGAGTTGGGCAACAGCATAGTCAAACACGTCTATAGAAATCACATTTTAAAAAATAGCTAAAACTGCAACCATAAAAGCATTTATTAAAACATACAGTTATTGAAATACATGAGACAAAAGTTAAAACATCTTATACTTAAAATGTGATTTAAAAGTCATACTTAAAGATGACAAGGTCCCCCTTTACACTGCCATATAGTCCAGATTATCAAAGCAGATACCATATATACTCAAGTATAAACTGAGTTTTTCAACCCTTTTTTAGGCCGAAAAAGCTCCCCTCGGCTTATACTGGAGTCAAGGTTATTTATTATTTTACTCTGTTATTATTATTTTGATTACATTTATTATTTTACTCTAATTATTATTATTATTATTATTATTATTATTATTATTACATTTACATTGTTTTACTCTATTATTTTATTACATTTATTATTTTTCTCTATTTATTATTATTATTATTATATTTCCATTATTTTACTCCATTATCATTACTATTATTATTATTACATTTATTTTACTCTATTATTGTTACATTTATTATTTTACTCTATCATTATTGAACGGATACATAAGCACATTTACATTGAAGAAGGTTAGAATAATGGTTTAATCAAAGTTGGACAGTCTTATCTTAAATTACAGTTTCATGTAAATATTAAAAAACATTTAACCTACTGATGCCTCAATTAGTATAATTTTATTGGTATCTATTTTTATTTTTAAATTTACCAGTTGCTGCTGCATCCCCCCCCCCCCCCCGGCTTATACTCAATCAATATGTTTTCCCAGTTTTTGTGGTGAAATTAGATGCCTCGGCTTATATTTCGGGTCGGCTTATACTTGAGTATATACAGGTAATTCACATTTTCCGCTTTTAACTGGCTTATATGAGTCTACACTGACATATAATCCAGTTCAAAGCAGATAATCTGGATTTTATGCGGCAGTGTAGAAGGGGCCTGAGTGCCTACTAAAGGAGATAAGTCTTCAGTTGTGTTTTATTTCACAACCGATGTCTTTGGGCAACCGATGAAAAAGGCTTCTGGGTGAAATATCAGCTCTCATTTTTTCCTGAGAAGATGTGACAATTTGCTCATCAATTACATTGACTTCTCTTTTAACTTGGTGCAGACCATCAAAAAAACAGTTCAGTACTGCAAGATTCGTGGAATTAAATTTCCCAGAATAGATCAGAGTGAGCTGATGGACAAAGACAACCCTTCAAATTGCTATATTTTTAGAGGAGAAGGCCTGACTGTTATGCATTTCCCGCTGTTCAACAAAGTCAACTGTCAAGGTAACATGGGAAGGGGTTCATTTGGATTTTTTAAAACCAGTTTTTAAGTATAGTGGCTGTGAATGAAAAACATACAAATTGGTTATTTTCTTCCAAAGCCAAATTGTTCTAACATGATATGACCTAGGACAATGCATGGCAACTTTTGATGGGACTCCAGCATGCTGCAAGCATCCTAGGATGCTGAAAAGAGAACACAATTAGTTCTAGTGTTCTCATAGAGAAGGTATAGCGCATGGGGAAGCTGGGTGGTGACACTTGCCCCCCATGGGATGAGTAAGCTGATGATGCAGACGATGCAGGGCACGGGGTGACAGGTTGCCACGATGCATACCAACTCCCCCTGCTATTGTCCGTAAATTGGACCTCAATGCGACTAGGTCCCTTATCCCTATAGTTTCAGCTTCTGTTTTCCTTTACCTCTTTCTGACATTTGTACTTTTCCAGAATGGTGAACTCATATTTCTTGAAGGTCTCTCTCTCCAGTTGAGCCATATATAATTTGTGTCCAACCAACAATTTTCATTTTCCCTCCTGCTACTGATTACTGCAAATTTCACAGCTAAAGTTATGCATAAATCTCATGCATTTGCCAAACAGTTCCAACTGTTCAACAGTCAGCTGTCAACATAACAGAGGGATCTTTTTCTTCTGAGAGTTTTACCAGTGATCTGGTACAGAGGTGGCTCTAGGTAATTTTCAACAGTAAGCAAACAGTATTTTGCCCCCCCCCCCCAACCAATCACTGATATATATTTTCTGTTCATTGTGAGAGTTCTGTGTGCCATATTTGGTTGAATTCCATCATTGGTGGAGTTGAGAATGCTCTTTCATTGTAGGTGAACTATACATCCCAGTAACTGCAACTTGCATATGTCAAGGTCTATTTTCCCCCAAGAGTGCCTCAAGAGCGCCCCTGGGCAAAATCAACTATACTGCAAATGCTTACTTCGCGTAATGGGTTGAGCCGCCCCTGATCTAGTAGTAAAGTGCATAGCTAGAAGCTGTGGAGAGTCATTTTCCTCAACATACTGAATCATTCTCATACACCTTTCCCCTATGTTGTCTCCTTCCAGTATAAACACACAGGTTCTTGCTCAAAGTACATTCCTGATGAGAAAAGTACAACTTGTAACCACCAAAACAGCAGACCTCATACTATTGAAATGTTATATTCCTGTTTCATGTCCTTCACAATTAAAAGCTAGTAATAGAGACAGATTGTATAGTATCATTACTAAGCAAAAATAGTTTCCTCCTCTTTACCTTTTACACTGGTTTTGGGATCCTATCACCTTCCACATATTTCTGGACTATAGCTCTGATCTGCATAATGAGACACAATAGGAATTGGTCCTATGCCTCCTAGACACCATTCCCCATATGTTCCATGTTTTTGTCCACCTTGGCAATACATAATAGAACTGCCTTGTTGCAACTAAGCAGATTTGAGCCTTTTTAATACCTGCATATTAAACCACTGAAGTAATATGGAAACTATTCTGAGTTCTGTAATGAAGAAAGGAAGATAGAACTGGGTGGGACTACAAAATATTGCTGGATTGTGTATCAAGCTCCTAGAACATACGTAGTTGGTGTGCTATAGTTATTTTCTTAAGTCATCAGAGCCATTTTCGTTCCCTTTTCTATGGCTTGTACTGTAGTTTATACTTTTTTTTGCTATGTATATGCTAATAAAGGCTTATTGGATTGGTAAGTCATCAGAGATGTTTTTGGTTTTAGTGGCCAATGAAAGAGTTCCACTAACATAATGATCACGAAGCTGCAATATTTTGATAGCTGATTGGCCAATTGATAATTCATATCAGTAGGTATTGAAACCATTTCAACTTTGTAAAACTACTCAGTTTTTACTTCTGTCAGCAGTTTTACAGCCATATTTCTTTGGACAAAAAAGAGACATATTTTAGTTGTGGACTGCTCTTCTTGTCATTGGATGCATCTCAGGAGTGGCTCCTTTTTGTGGGAAGTAACATAGGCTCAGATTTATTTTTAAGTAAACATGAGTAGAATTCAACACTATGGGTAATATTCATGGCTATGCTGAAAAACTTTATAGACACCCATCCATGTTCTTTGTTTTCAGATAAAATTGAGGAATACCGTAAAAGGTTTAAAACCTTCAAACTCAGCTACTCAGATGAAGACATCGGAATGCTGCTCACTGCAGCAAAGAAGAACGTAGCAGATGTTCAACAAAAGATTGTGGAGGAGATCAAGAAGATTGTGGCTCTTCCATAATAGATGTATTAAACAAATAGTCTCTGTGTAAACATTTTTTGAGAATACGGAAAGCTATCCTATCTGCATATGCTCAGTGTATATAGAGCAAATCCATAGAATCAATAGTATTTACCTACATGTTGATTTACTTTTCAATAATTGATTTAGTAAGCCATCTTGAACTGGAACAATAGATATAAAACCTAAATGAATCTAACAGTTAATTTACACTTTGACATTTTTCTTTATTCTGCTTTGATCAGAACGAACGTCGAAACCTTTACTATTCCTTTCAATGGAGGGGAAAAGGTTCCTGATTGCATATTAATATTGCCAGCAAAGGAATGATTACACCAAAAGAGAGCATTGATAATTCCATTGTTTATCTGAAACCAAGGAAGGATAGTGAACATCAGTTACAGTAGTGACCATTTCACATCTTTGGTATAATATTGACAAATCCATAATAGTCTTGTTGAGGCAGAGGGTCCATCCAGACAGGCCCAAAAACTGGGATATGTCTCGATTTTTACCGGAGGTGTCCAATCATTGCCCGGTAAGAAGAAATTAATTCAGAAAAAAATCTAAAATGTTCTTGGTTTGTTCCAAATTAATTAAATAACCCATTAGATCTAGGGTTTCCTGAAAACCCTGGTTTAATGGGGTATTGGATATGTGGGGTCTCACTCCCAGGACTGCTTCTGCAGTCCCAGGGATGAGTCTCTACCGCCATCCTGCACCTTTTGGGGCTCCTGGATCCCAAAGGTGTGGGAAGGAACCCATCCCCGCATCCCCCCTTATTTACTTCTAAAACATACTTTAAAAGGTCCCTGGGGCACCATAACTTGTTTCGTCTGGCGCAAGAAAATGACGCATGAGGATATGGGGGTGGGGGGTGGGGGACGTGAGGAGGGATTTTCCTCCTCACCTCTTCCATCTCTTCAGGAATGATTTTCCAGCATCAGGAGGATGCGGGGAGAGGAGATATGGTAGCCAGGGACCTTTACGCTTTAAGGGACAAATGGGGGGATTTGGGTGGCTATATGCCACCCTGATTTGTCTTGGGATGGCATGTAGCCACCCCACCCCTACCAGAAGGCCTGGGATTTTAGTGGTTGGGGACTAGAACCCATACCAAAGCAGGTTATTTCAACTCACTTTGGCGAGGGTTTTGGCACTGCCTGAAAGTGCCCAGAGTCTGCATATAAAGCATGGAAAATAAAATAGTAGAAATATTGTTGAACTTTCTTCTGTCAGATGATGAAAATGATAGAAAAAGTTTCACTAAACATTTTCAGCTAATTTCTCTAGCATTAGCTCAAATTCCTTTCACCAACTTTCCCCTTTGTTGTGGCTTGGTTAAGATCCCTGTATGGAAGAGGTGGCTGTAAAACTTAGTTAACACTTTATTCCAAAATCTAAGCAAATTAAAGGAATTAGATTTATCATATGGAACCGAGATAATTTCATGCTTAATATTTTTAATGGAAAAGGCTTTTTAAAAACTTTGATAAGGCTATCTCTGTGACATTTCTTTATTATTAATACCTGTACTTCTGTATTCTTGATTATGTTTTTTGTACTCTTTTATCAATATATCACTTATTACATTGCAATATGGAGGTTGTAGTGGCTGGGTCTGTCCACTGGAATAAAAAATGATATCAACTAAAATCAAGATTATCTATATTCTTAAAATTTCTGGAAATGTTGCTGGCAATTGAATACAATAAAACATTCTATAATTAGTTGTCATGCCTTGTAGGAACATGCCACTTTTTCAAACAAATGAACTGTTGCTGCAGCCATGATTGCAATTTCCTGCAGTTGTCTAGGACTGCTAAAATCGCTGAAGTTTTTAGCATTCTGAAAAATGTTGAAAAACAAACAAATGTGTGCCTATACCAGCCTTAACTCTTACATATTATACTATGTAATTTTTTTTTAAAAATGTTCCTCATTGGGAAGTGTTATTTTCTGTTTAAATGTACGGTACTGTGAAAGTAGTTGTTATGCTCCAGAAACTTCATTTTGTGACTGCCAAAAACTATGTTGAATTGGCTGAGACTCTATGACAGGGGTCCTCAAACTTTTTAAACAGAGGGCCAGGTCACAGTCCCTCAAACTGTTGGAGGGCCGGATTATAATTTGAAAAAAAATGAATGAATTCCTATGCACACTGCACATATCTTATTTGTAATGCAAAAAATGCTTAAAAACAATACAATAATTAAAATGAAGAACAATTTCAACAAATATAAAATTATTAGTATTTCATTGGGAAGTGTGGGCCTACTTTTGGCTGATGAGATAGGATTGCTGTTGTCGTCGTTTCAGACTTAGGTTGACCCTGAGCGAGGGCCGGGTAAATGACCTTGGAGGGCCGCATCCGGCCCCCGGGCCTTAGTTTGAGGACCCCTGCTCTATGAGATATTAATTGAAAAGCTATTGCAAAATGCCCTGCAGTTTTTGCAGTTTCATTTTTTTTTCATGTTTTTATGCTAGAGCCAAATAGGACATGACATTTATAACCCAGGAACAATAACTGTGTTATCGATGAATTCATAGTTGGAATTATGTCTGATTCAGAAGCTCTTTCATCTCATACTCAACAAATTAACAATATGATACAAGCCTGTTCCTCTTTCTAGAATGTTCCTATCTACAGAGATTAGAGATAGGAATTTCACATTTTCCAACTGTCTCACATTATGGACAAACATTTCATGCAAAGACCCAGTGTCTCATTTGTGACATATAGTTTTACAAGATCTTTAGCCTTCTCTGCCAAAGAGTCCTGGTGCTACCTCAAACAGCAGCTCCCCAAATTCCATTGCATGGAGCCATGACAGCTAAAGTGTGTCAAACTGAATTCATTTTACAGTGCAGATGCACCCTTAGAGAAGGTCCTAGATCAGTTTATATCACAGTCAAACCCTTTGAAACATGGGATGCATACAGGAAATGACTTCTCCTCACTTCACTTCCTCTCCTGTGCCTCAAATGGTCTAGAAAGACCTCAAAATATGGCAAAAATGTCCTTAATGCCCCATAGAGGGTATCCGGGGCTAAAAAAAATGTTGACTCTTTATTTTGCAACAGTAACCCAGCCTCCTAGTTATGCATTAGCTGCTGTCTAGTCTCAAAGGACACCTGTCCAACACTAATTTCATAGTTATTCCTAGTTATGCATTAGCTGTTGTCTAGTCTCAAAGGATGCCTCTCCAACACTAATTTCATAGTTATCCCCAGTCATTGTTATCCGCATCCATAGATTACTCTAGCCAGGCAATCCTTATCTAGGAATGGCTTTAAGTGGAGTACCAAGTTAAGATAAGCCACAGTAACAAAAAGGGCCAAGAAGTACTCTTAGAACCTCATCTCATTGAGGTCACTGATCTAGGCAGTAGCGGGGGGATTCATCATGACCCATTGTGAATCTGATGGTAGGCATAGGGAATCCATCACCTCACACCCTACATCGCCCACATCATCCGCCCTGATTCCCGCCCCCCCGGGGGTTGAGAAGGGCGGGGTACAAATATCTGAAATAACGAAATAAAATAATCCTACCTCTTCCCCTGGGGGGAAGTACAGTCACCTAGCCTCTCCCTGTTGCTCTCTATACAACATAGGAAGCCTTCCGTGTTGCCGGCGCTGCCTCTTATGACAATTTGACCTCACTTCAGACATGGAGCCCTGTTGGAAGTAGATTGATGTTGTGTGATGGGACCTGGCAGGATCTATGCCTGGTGAAGTTGGACTATTATAGGACAGGCAATTTTGCCCACCCTTAGACCATAGACCTGGTCCTTCAGTGTCAGTACAACTCTGTTCAGAACAGCTAATATTTTGAATGACTGAAAATGTGAACCACCAATCCGTGAAAACTCCATCTGGTCAGAATTCACCTTCAGGTTATTGGTCCTTACTCACTTTGATACTTTAGGTACTGAATACATGATATGCTATGCCAACTTCCCAAAGCTACTGAGGAAATACTACTGGTTCTATCAAAATGCCACTGGCTTCCTTTGCAATTTCTTGAAGGTTGCGTATGGGGAGATGTTCCCTCAAAAGATATTCAATCCATTAAAAAAAATAATTAAAGTCAGATATGCCCCCAAGAGGTTAATTAGAACAAGACTGAGTAGATTTCTGTTTTCTTCTTAAGCAACTACAATCCTTATGAACGGACAAATCAAAACATCGCCACCACCTCTTATCTGGAAGCACACGTTAACTAAGGATCTTTCTTCAAATAATGAAAGTTTTCACAATTGATAAAGTAACAAGAATATTTTTCCATTATACATTGTTTTTGCTTATAGTAATTGAAGGTGGCCATTCAGCATTTTCTGTGCCTTTCATTTGGGATGATTACATGTACACACAGCAGACAAAACTGTTGGCACTGGAATTGTGTAAGACCTCAACCACTACTGTGATCCGATTCTTAAAGGTACAACTTTCTTTCTCTCTCTGTGTGTGGTGGTGGTGGTGGTTGAGGAGCTGGGCAATCTTACAATCATGCTGTTTTGTCCAGATTTGAATAAGTATGTAGTTCTATTTCTTTTCATGTCTTAACAGCATTCTGTTATTTGTGACAGACTTTGGCAATTTTTTAGAATAAGACATCAATGATAAATGTATCACTGAAATTACTGTTGTTTATAATTCAGCCTTTTATTAGAGAAGGTCTCTTTCTTTTTGCTTTGATTAATGATTTTAGTATTGCACAAATCTTTAAGTTGTTGCTAGAGTCAAACTATAAAGAGGGCAACAATGGAAAATCAGATATGTAATTTCTGGATTGTTTCATTCTTTATGAGAACAATTGTTTGGAAAATATATTTGAAGAGGCAAATTGTGAAAAAATGGAAAACTGCAACCCCTTTTACACTGCCCTATATCCCATGATCTGATCCCAGATTATCTGTTTATCTCAGATTATCTCGCAATGGATACTTTTATAATCCAGTTCAAAGCAGATAACTTGGGATCAGATCCTGGGATATAAGGACAGTGTAGAAGGGACCTGGGTCTAATTCATATGAGGAGTAAAAAAATATAACTACATCTCAGCAGAAAGTAAGGTATGAAACAAAGAGATTAAAAAATAGATTCCACAAACTATGGCCCCTTCTACACTGCCTTACAAAATCCAGATTATGAGTTGGATTGTCTGACAGTGTAGACTCATATAATCCAGTTCAAAGCAGATAATGTGGATTATCTGCTTTGATAATCTGGATTATATGGCAGTGCAAAAGGGGCCTATGAGACAAGATGATTTAAATTCTCGTTGAGAAAAGCGTTCTCAGGTTGGAACATAGTGACCCATGATCAGTGCAGGTGGGGGACACTTTCTAAAATCAGTGAAGGAAATGAGAATAGTCTTCCTCGGAACAGTGCCTGCTGATGGAAAGGAAGAAATCAATTTAGAAATTAAAATAGGAACTCATATCAAAATAAAACATAACTAAACATTGTGATGCAAAGTAACTCAAGAGCACTCTATGTAAGACTGTTGATAAGCTCATTTTATATGTACTATATTAGGAGTGTAGAATGTTTAATCTCTGGCACCTTCTACACTGCTATATAATCCAGTTCAAAACAGATAATAAGATGTCCCCCCTGTGGGAAAACATGCGAATCAGGAATAGGGCTCCACAGCCACCTACGGACCCACTGCCAAGACACCACATCTGGAAGACAATCATCCTCGAGCTACGAGGGATCACCTAAGTAAGTAATCTGGATTTTATACAGCAGTGTAGAAGGGGCCAGGGAAACTCTCCGTTTGGTACTGCAGTCATTCTAAAAATGCTCAGAGCTATGTAGAGGTTCAAATATTTCAGTCCTGCTTATTTCATGTTTTACAAACAAAACTCTTTAATGGCTTGTTCTATGCATAAAGGTAACCAAGTCAAGTAGTGTTGGCATTACAAATAAGAGCAACATAGCCGCTTTGAGTCTCCTTGTGGAGAGAAAAAGCACAGTATATATAAACATAATAATAACAATAATAATAATAATAATAATCTCCAATTAATCGTGATGAGCTGCAAATGGTATACCTAAAATCAAGGTATTTCCAGCAGAATTAATAAAAGATCTTCAAGTATTCCAAATGTACTTGTTCTTCTGAAAATCCAACTCCATGTAGGGTGGGGAGACCATGAATGAGTACCACACATCTACTGTTGTAGCATGCTTGTGGCATGTTATATGCTTTCAGATTTGATGCCATAAATACAAAAATCCACACACTTTCCATACCTCTAATATTGATCACTTCTTGGGCCCTTCCACACAGCCCTATATTCCAGAATATCAAGGCAGAAAATCCCAAAATATCCGTTTTGAATTGGATTATCTGAAAATCCCACACTCAGATAATGTGGGGTTTTCTGCCTGAATATTCTGGGATATGGGGCTGTGTGGAAGGGCCCCTTGTTATAAGATCTGGAAAATGTACATCTTTAGCTGCACCACATGCTCCAATGTTTTGTTTGTACTATGATATAACACTGTGTGATTTTTAATTTGTCTTGCTTTGGAAATAATCCAAATCCAAATAAATACATACAACGAATAGCCAAAAGAGGCTAGGAAGTGACAATTGTTGCATTTGAAGAGGAAGATTAATAATATTTGTCAAAATTATATCCCATCAGATAAAGAACCATGAAAATGGAGGTGGGAAATGAAACCATGATTCTAGAATTTATTCTTCTTGGCTTTGGAGATCTCAAAGAATTACAGATTCTTCTCTTTGTGCTATTTCTATCAATCTACATAATGACTGTTGCTGGGAATCTTCTCATCGTAGTGTTAGTAGTGACTGATCGCCATCTCCATACCCCCATGTATTTCTTCCTTGGGAATCTGTCCTCCCTGGAGATCTGTTACAGTTCTACCATTATTCCCAGAATGTTGGCCAGATTTGTTACAGGTAACCAGCAGGTGTCTCTGCATGTTTGCATTACGCAGTTGTGGTGTTTTTGCTTTTTTGCAGCAACAGAATGTTACCTTCTAGCAGCAATGTCTTACGATCGCTATTTAGCAATATGTAGACCACTGTATTACTCTACTCATATGAATCCAAAGGTTTCCTTCCAACTTATTGCTGGCTCTTGGATGTGTAGTTTTGTGGTAGAAATGATATTGTTTAGTTTTATACTCCAGTTAAGCTTCTGTGGTTCCAGGGCTATTGAGCACTTCTTTTGTGATTTTATCCCAGTAATAAACCAGGCCTGCAGTAATACACATCTAGTGAAACTTGTATTAGTTGTTTTGGCATCCATCACTACTCTGCCACTTTTCATTTTAACCACAATATCATATGGGTATATCATTATGGTTATACTTCGAATCCCATCCATCAGAGAGCAGAAAAAGGCCTTCTCAACTTGCTCATCCCACCTTATTGTGGTGACAACATTCTATGGAACACTAATCATTGTATACATTCTGCCAGACACTGATAGACTGAAAAAGTTGAATAAGGTATTCTCTGTCTTTTACACTATCTTGACACCTCTAGTAAATCCCCTTATATATAGCTTGAGGAATAAAGAGGTGAAGGAAGCTCTGAGGAGAACAGCTAGGAAATGTACCCAATGTATGCAAATTTGTCAGATTCTTGTCTTCAAACTACACAATGGAACTAAGTTTTCCTGTAAAAACAAGAAAACCTCACTATGCTGAACCACATCCGCCTCTCTTGGGATTCGAACACTGCTATGTTTAATTTCGTTTTAAAGTTTGCATACTTGTATATTTTAAATTGTGTGGCCATACTTTTAATTGTAAACCTCTTTGTGTCTCCAAGAGAGATAAAACAGGGTATAAATATAATAAATATAGTAGTAATAATAACCCACAGGCATTTTCCTTGCAATTTTATTTTGATTTTTTTAATGCATTTGGTTGTGTTTTATTACATGTTTTATTGTTTCAGCATCGTTGCCTGTTGGTAGCTGTCCTGAGTCCCTCCTTGGAAGTCGAGAAAGGACAGGGTATAAATGTTCCAAATAAATAAATAAATCTGTGTTGTTTGGAGATCTGTTACAGTTCAACTATTCTCCCCAAAATGCTGACCCATTTTTAAACTGATGACCGTCATGTTTCAGTAAACGGCTACATTGTTCAGTTATGGATTGTTGGTTACTTAACAGCATCAAAATGCAATTTCCTGACATCAATGTCTTATGATCTGCACTACGCAAGTCTCATGAATTTCAAAGTTTATCTCAGGCTGGTGATCAGATGGATCCTATTTTGGCAATACTGTGCTAAATTTAACCTTATTAAGTTTTATATTGTAATTAAACTTTTGTAGACATAGCATTCTTGATCATTTCTTTTGTGATTTCATTCCAATGACAGAAGTTGTCTGCAGTGATGCATATCAGATACAACTATTACTAGGTCTTCTAACAGCCACCTGCACTCTGCCATCATTTAGTATAAGAATTACATCATATGGCTGCATCATTGCTACCACTCTGGCAATTTCATCTACTACTGGAAGACAAAAAGCCTTCTCCACTTGTTCCTCTGATCTCATTGTGGTGGCCATTTTCTATGAAACCTTTATTGTAGTGTACCTTTTGCCATACAGCAATGGCCTCAGAGAAATAAACAAATCTTTTCAGTTTTTTTTTACACCATTGTCACACCTCTGATCAATCTTCTCATTTATTGCCTCAGGAACAAAGAAGTAAAGATGGCAGTCAAAACAGCAACAACTACATGTGCAGTCAGTAAACATTTTAATCAAAATGTCATTAGTAACATCTCACAACAAAACTAGAATAAAGACAGAAAGGCATCTTGGTGATTAATGTGTTCTGGACCATTTCAGAGGTCTATTTCTGAAGCTATATTCAGCAAATATATTGCCTCTGGACAATGGGAAAGGTTAAATTCCAAAATGTGACAAAAAAAACATATTTGCTGTTATAAAAACCATCATTGTACCCCACTCAATTAGTCAACGTTCAGACAGTTTCCAATCTTCCCTTTTTGGACAAAGCCATGGAACATGTAGTGGCCTCGCAACTCCAAGTGTTCTTTGAGGAAACATTATCTGGATCTGGCACAGTCTGGCTTTAGACCAGAACATGGAACTGAAACAGCCTTGGTCACTTTAGTAGATGATGTAGACTAGGAACTGGACAGGGGGAGTGTACCTCTGTTTGTTCTCCTGGACCTTTGATACCATAGACCACAGTATCCTTCCGGGACACCTTGTGGGAATGGGTCTTGGAGGTACTGTTTTACAGTGGCTCCAGTCCTTCCTGGAGGGCCATTCCCAGAAGGTGTTGTTTTAGGACACCTGATTGGACCCACAGCCATGGTCTTGTGTGGTCCCACAGGGTTCAGTATTGTCCCCCATGTTGTTTAACATCTACATGAAGCCGTTGGGCAAGATCAGCCTGAGTTTTGGAGTTAATTGTCATTTGTATGCAGATGACTATCACTCCTTTCCACCTGTTACTAAGGAAGTTGTTCAGGTCCTGAACCAGTGGTTGGCAGCTGTGATGGCCTGAATGAGGGTGAACAAATTGAAATTGAATCCAGACAAGACAGTGGTACTCTTGGTCAGTTGATAAATAAATAGTCTCACATGCATTGGAATTATTTATTTATTTATTTATTATTTATTACTGCGCTTGTATACCGCCGTTTCTCAGCCTACATTTATTTACATTGGCGACTCAACGCGGTTTACAACACTACAATAATCAACAATATCCAATTTAAAAAGCATAAAAAACACATACACAAAACACAGTATTGGGCCACCAATACAAACCAATGCATCTCTTAACTAAAATCATAATCCAATTTCATCGTCTGTGGTTACCAGTCCTTGATCATCAACTTCATTGCATCGGATTAGCCGAATGCTTGTTGGAACATCCATGTCTTCAATTGTTCAGAACATATGGAATTTTTTAATATCCTTGCTATTGGGAACATTGGAAAAAATGGAATCTTTGTATTTCATCTGTATATCATCATATTTGGGACAAAGAATGGTGAAGTGTTTCAACAGAGACCAAGTCACAAGAACAACCCCTTTAGATGTTCCATGTTTTTATATCTCCCATTCAAAAGAGCTGATGGCAACATATTTAATCATGCAGTTTCCAAAGCTCTCCTCTGGCTGGAATTAATCAAAATACGAAGATATGCTGCCATGACTCCACTGTCAAATGGAATTAATGATGTGGCAGGGGAACAAAATGTCTTTGCTGCAAGAGCCAGATTATGAAAATCAAGACCAAGAAGCCTGCTCTTGACTGACTTTCATATTTGTAAGCATTAAGAGTGCTTCCAAAGTCAGGTTCATTGCTTCAATCTTTCTGAGATCCAAATAATATCATTCTGAAAGAAATTGATCTGATAACAGATAGCTATTGGGGTCTACTTATTTATATACAGTCAGTATTTATAGCTCTCATTCATACCAAAGTTTCAAGAGTAGTTTGACCCACCTTAATGCATAGCATGGCATAAAGCACACATCTAGGGAGCCCTATTAATTTCCAGAGAAACTTGGAATGCAGTGTATTAAATTATTTTTTGATTGCGGAAATCCAAATAGGGGAGCCATACAGTAGCAGCGAACCAATCCTAGCCTCAAAAACTTTGAGGGCAGCAGGGATATATTGCTTATCCTTACTGGAGAAAAAATGATATATTGCTGCAGTGTTGGTTTGTGCAGAAGCCATTAATGCTTGTTGCTGTGAGAGTCATGACAGGTTATATCTGTAGCAAATACCAAGGTACTGAAAGTATTTGACTTGTTCAGTTTTGTCCCCCCTGATCTGCCAAGACACGGGCTTCCAATTTTTTTTGGCAAAAATAAGAATTTTGGATTTAATATAGCTAATTTCCAGCCTATTTCACAATAATTGGCAAAGCAATGCATTAAGTGTTTAAGGTCAATACTAGATAAGGACAATAACACAGCATTATCTTTATCTAAGAGTAAGGGAACATGAGTAGAGTGGAGTATCACTATTAACCAATGCTAAAGTCTGAAGTAAATCACACAGGAATATGTTAATAGTAAGAATAAGAATAAGAATAAGAATAAGAAGAAGAAGAAGAAGAAGAAGAAGAAGAAGAAGAAGTCTGGATTATTGATGTCGCCATACCAGGTGACACCCGCATTGAGGAAAAACAACAGGAAAAACTCAGCCGCTATCAAGACCTCAAAATCAAACTGCAAAGGCTCTGGCATAAACCAGTATAGGTGATCCCAGTGGTCATCGGCACACTGGGTGCCGTGCCAAAAGATCTCAGCCAGCATTTGGAAACAATAAACATCGACAAAATCACGATCTGTCAACTGCAAAAGGCCACCTTACTTGGATCTTCACACATCATTCGAAAATACATCACACAATCCTAGACACTTGGGAAGTGTTCGACTTGTGATTTTGTGATACGAAATCCAGCATAGAGATCTCGTTTGCTGTGACGTACTGTGCTTTTGTGTCAATAATAATAATATAATTATTTGACCAGTCATATGACCATTTCAAAATACAGCACGAGTAAAAGATAAGGCAAAAAGGAGAGGACAGCAGTTCAACAGGAATCTGTTGAACAGAGTAGAAGCCAGTATGCAGCTCTGCTTGACTCCACATGTAGTACTAATTCTAGAACTTAGTTGGCCTTCCTCAGAGCATCTAATTAGGCAAACAGTATTGGTGTACAATTGTCTAATTAGAAACAAAAGTCTGGGATCAATACTGCAAGGCCACACTTTATTCCGCAACAGGTTTCTCAAAGATTGATGCCAGTGCTTCTGAAATTACTCCCGCTAAGAATACTGGCAATAATCTTTGAGAATTCTTGGAGAACAGAAGTCCCAGAAGACTGGAGGAGGACAAAATTTGTCCCTATCTTCAAGACGGGAATAAATAGTGTTGGGTTTCATCCCTGACTGCACAAGTCTCCAGCCCTCAATGAGTAGTTAGCCTATGTAGGATTAGAGTGAGGGATTCCTTCCCAATTTCCTATGCAAGCCTATCCGAGAAGGGGCTTTGTCTTACTCTTCTTTCTTGCTACTATCTTTTCCCCTTTGAATATTTAGCAATGTGATCTCTAAGGTAACTTCCTCGTTAAAGGTATATGTTGATTGCCTGGGCTTATTGGCCATGTGGTCATTCTCCATTTTGGCCCTTCCTGCCATTGTCTTCTTTGAGTAAGGACACATCTTGCCTTTCTCCAGGAAAGATGTAGCTGCAATGATATTTTCTTATTTTTATCCCCTTTTTCTTTTCTTAGAAGATAGCTTAGTAAGCTAGTTAGCTCCAAGAACCTTTTCTACCTAGAATGGATTTCTTTTGACTTTAATAAACACATATTTTTGGAACCTAAAGTTGTGGATCCTACAATCCTGTGCCATCCTGTTGAGTGGAAACTAATTCTGGTTCACTGCACGTAAGCTTCTGCTGGTTATGAACTGTGCTTCTGACAGTATGCTATATTTTTTTGTGTGGAATCACCCAAAGTGAGGGTTATTTTGAGCCTAACAGCTCTGATTCCCATCAATTAGGATTCAAAATTCTGATACTTTTATCCTGTACTTTGCGAATGGAGACAATCACACTTCTAAATGAAATTGAATGAGATTTATGTCACAGACAATACAGTGAGAACCTAGATGTAGTTTACAAAGCCCA